AACGAACGTTAACTTCAACAATACTTCTCTCTCTGACAGCAGTTCAATTATTCATTACCTGCACACACATTACATTCTGTTTCCGTCACATTGTCACCCTCTTTTATATACCAGTCTACCCTCTATCTAGTAAATACTAGAGCATTCGCCAAAGTACAGGATAGTTCTAGAAAGTAGAGGGCGCCACACCAGTCACTTGACCTCGATGACGCAACAGTATCATCTGGTATATTGTGAAGAAATCGCTTTATTTGATGTATTAATGCAGTAGAAATATAATGCATAGTTAATTATAATCTTCCAGTACGGACATATATTCCCCTAGGCATTATTTTCAAATTGTACAGCAAGTTATATAAATGATTTGAAATTACACCTTCGTGTAATAAACATATCTTTTTAGCGTATTTTTTTTGATAAATATAATCTGATTCGTTTGTAAATGTTGTCGAAGAAGTTTGTAGGTGTCTGTTTTTGGTTGTAGTTTTGGCCATAAGGAGGAGCAGGTACACAATGGACCTCTACCTTCCTCCTTTGTTGTTGTTTAGTTACTTGGGTATGTCCAACGAAATTCAGTATACCTATATTTCTCTCACTCTTGGCGGGAAAGCAAGCATTTAATATCATTGAGGGTGTGTATGCGCTAGTGACGGTAGGCCTATTTACAACCTGGCTAAATAACTAGTTTGCGTTGAAAGCCTGTGAACGAGACTAACTGCCTTTCAGAAAGCAGCAGCACTGTCCAAGCACGGTTTCCGTGTTCCTATTCTCGTAACTTTGACGTTTTTGCCCAAGTGACGCCTATGATATCAGTAGGCGCGCTGTGGTCTCATTCGTATTTTCGTGTCTATTCTACTGTGACGCTTGATGCTGCTTCTCTGTCTCATCTCGTCTAATCTTTCTCTGATTTTCTGTCTTGTTCATAAACCCATTCACGGCGAGTCTAAACATCATCATTGTTAGAACATATTGACCAAATACAAGTTACTAAACCGGCGTCAATAACGTATCGAAAGATCTGAGTGAGAACGACCGAATCCTTTCCCTCCTCACACACGTAGAGTAGTAACATTACCGATTGACACCTCTAACCAGATGGTAAGCATAACTTCAATTTTTATAGTCACGTAATGAATGCTGACCCCTTTAGTTAAAGATATAATTTGAACGTGAGAAGCGACTCAGGTGAATTCTATATAGTTATCACTATTTATTTGTTTAAATTTTGTAACGTTATCCCAAGAGTGCTTAAAAGCAACTTTTATATTTATGTATACCTGTAAATAGGATGTAAAGATATTTAAATTAAATACGAGGCATATCTCTACTCAAGTCCATAATTGTTGTCTGGCGCCAGTTTCGAAAAACTAGGTCAAGTCGCATGTACAGAAGCTGGTCTTGAAAAGTTCGCTGATAACTTCCTTGGATCGTTGAAGGCACCTTTCTCTCTATGGTTACTGAAGCTACTTTATTTTAGTGAATGGGTCGAGCGTCTAGTTCCCTGTTCAAAGTAAATAATGGTACAATATGCATTGTTTTTGCCTTATTCTGGCTGCAAAACTTGCTGAGTTTTTAATTTTTCAAACGCTATGATCATATGAAAACTGAAATTGTTGCCTATAAGTGCCGTTTAATATTCGTATTATCCGCAATGGCTTTGTTTTGTTTTATGTGAAAATGTTTCTACTTTTTTTCTCTAAGTAACTGATACATCACGACTGTTGAATTATTTCTAATATATTGACATTGCTCTGTAGTATATCTTTCTAAACGGTTTACCACGAAAGGCTAAAATTAACGTATTGTATGAGTTGTGAATTTTGTGTTTTAATATATATTCAGCACGGATACTGACTTCAACTTAGAAGACGACTGGTTTAGCAAATATAGCTCGTCAGTTTAGCCAAATCGTTAGCAGGAAAGATCGTGGATTGTTATTTAACTTGTCCTTAAGTGAAGTTACCAAGTTACCCTATAAAATTGAGTGATTTTTGCATTGTGTACAGACCGATCATTCATACTTTTAACACAGCTAACTTGCCACTGTTCGTTTCCTAGTTATGTTATTCCACTTTTTGATACAATATGATGTGTATGCTACGTAATGACATACACAGAAGAGATGAACCGGAGACTGATTACTATATTATAAAATAATGCAGCGTTTTCCAAACTTTTGTCATCCACGCCCCGCCCCCTTAATAAATATTATTTCTTGCGCATCTATTTTTTAAATGAGATTGAGTTAAGTGACGATATATAATACACGTATACACATTGTAATACCATATGTCTGTGGTAGCAGTTAGACTTGTGTCCAGTTATACAGTTAATATTTCGTTTGTTGAACTTATTTTCAATTTTAGGAATATGTGCTGTAGTTCGTGTACGGATTACTTTGGAGTTGGGCTTTTTTTTATTGAAGGTGGTGTCTGGTCAGACTGTATCAGTAAAGTAAAAGGCAGTGTGACTAGAAATGGTACTTTAACTTGATGTATAATAACATTGGCTTTACGTCCACCACCAACCCACTATAGATGGAAATCCAGTATGGCCTGTTAATTAAAATTGGCTGTAGAGGAAATTTTTTTTAAATGCACTATAAAATGGTGTATGAAATGAAGCAGTTGAGCTTAAATACATGTGTGTGTGCTGCTCTTATTCTGAGCAACTTTTATGTGTATTTCTTAAAACGCAGAACCTGTCTTTCCTATTTCTACCGTCAGGCGTGGTTTAGGGCTTGATTGTTGAAACCTGTAGAGTTGTCAAATCTAGTCTGATTTATTAATAGTTTGTTTGTTGCAAAGAAAATAGATACTTCCATGCTTTGCAAGTGCATGCCTGATAATAACATTTGTAAACGAGACAGTCATGACTAGAAAAACTAGCTTTATTAATAAGTGAAAAAGTCGGGCACTGATTTGGAGGTTTCATGGTTACCTTGGTAACCAGCCAGCTCTATGCTTTGCAGTAACTAAATTCCTGTGACCTTTATTGTGTAGCGTTCACCATACAGTCTGTTTTCTAAGGCTGCTAGATGTTAAATACGTTTTGATGGCTTAAAATATTACTTCTCACAAAGGGAAAAAAAAAATGAAGCATAAATCTGTCTTAAGATTTCCACATACGCTTACGTGCATGTGTTTTGGGAATGTCACTGAACCATGTTAACAAATAGATGACTCCAATATTATCAGCTTCATTTTGCATATACCTAAACTAATATCAGTTGCCTGAAAGTTATATAAAAGCGTGAAACAAAGAGCAACAAAATATAAACGGATTGAAATCTCAGAAACAAATTGTACCGATTTATTCTCTTTGTTAAATTTTGCTTTTTCAAGAGAAACGTAATATCTGTATTCTGTAGGATCTGAATTGTATCGTTTAGTCCATTGGTAACTAAACTTTGTTGAACTCCACAGATTTTACGCGTATTTGTTTTTCATTTAGGAACAATTGATAAGGCATTTCATTATTAAGAACATCATTTGTAAAGTAACTAATAAAAATATAAAACAGATATGTAAAAATCGTTTTGAAAAAATACGTTGGGTTGCTTCAAAAAATATTTATGTTTTAATTGGATTTCTTGGGATATAAGTAAATATTTGCCCAAATGATTTACTCATAACAGATTTGGCCATGATCAAACGAAGAATAATAGGATTTTATTTATAACTAAGTGATACGTTATCTTGGAAAGTAATATATTAAAGCAGACTGATACGCATGTCTGTGTATATAAGTAACGTTATCATATAGCGTCCATGTTGCAAATGCATTTTATGCCATATTTAAAGCCTTAAATTAAACAAAGCCATGATGATCTCAGTCCGTGTTGTTGTGAGGCGGTCACGGTATGCTAAATCATGAACCAGCTGTATGTGCTCAAACGTGACGTCATCGTCATGAACTTAATGAGTGTAACCAGAGTGAAGTTCCGGGAAATGGGCAGTTAAGTTGTGGGGCAGGTGGTGCAAGAGAGGGGGGGAGGACCTGACTCACAAACACTTGACACAAGATATAGCGAAGCTTCTATGAATTCATGAGCTAGGCATACTCTGTAACATCTTATATTTGTTTTTATTAAATTAGTCCCTTACTTTTTTAATGTGAATATGTTTAACTGTAATGTATGGTAAAGACAGTACGTGTACTAGTTATTTTTAGGTGTTAGTTCAGTTACAGCTATTTTAGATACATCTATAATACAACACAATTTTTATTTTGAGCTTACTTTTCGCAACAATACAAGATAATAAATAGATACATCTGTGAGCATTTCACTCTTCGTTTACTTTATTTTAAGTCACTTGCAGTAAAAGTCTAAAAACGTGTATTTTCGTATTATGTTGATGAACAAAAAGTAATACTGACAAAATAGTTGAACTTGTGTTTCAGAAAGTAACAATTATCGAGTTTGTTCTTTAAAACAATTCATGCTGTCGTAATTTGTAATATAATTTCTTGTTACGAGTCGAACCTTTTTTTTGACCTTCACTGGCTTCTCAGTTGTAAACAGTTTGAAATGCTGATGTCAAAAATGTGTTCCGTACAGTTACTACTTTTATGCTAAAGACTGGCAAGTGAGTTTTCGCTGTATATATTGTTACACATCTGATTGTTTGTTAATTTCCAGTATAAATCATTTCCGAGAAATTTCAGCGATACAAGTTCTTTCTTAATTAAAACTAGTTTAGTCTCTCTCAGTACAACTTTGCAATATACAGAATTTCCA